TTAGGCAAAAAAAATGTTATTAAACTTGAAGGATCAAATTATTACTGTCTATTCATTATAAGCATATCAAGACTAACTGCTAGTTATTGTGTAGGTACCATTGTACAATATATCATATGTATTACAGTGCATATCTTTTATTTCAATAAAGTATATATTTTGCCTAAGTATTATGAGAAACATGGAAAATCTTTCAGGTAAAGTGGTATTAACGTTGTTATGATAAACAGGAATATAACTGCCAACAATGTGATGACCTTGACACTGTTCACATAGATGCTGTAGAGGTCATGTCATGTCAAATACTACCTAATCACTTCACCCCAGCACTAATACCACAGGATTAGTGGGGTATAATCAGCGTAACTTACGCGCGTGTCACCCCAAGACACGGGGATGTGAGGGATGAACAGAATGCAGCCACCAGTGACTCTCCCCAGCCAAACTCCACATAGCATACATTGTATCTCTTTGGCCAACTACTCAACAACACATATATCTTCACCGACACATTCCGGGATCATTCTGAGGTGAGACTTATCAAAGGCCTCACTGCGTGCTGACCAAACATATCCCCATAATGCCCAGCAATCACCTTTGATTTTGAATGGGTAAACAAATTCAACAGTACCATTTACCATCAAGTATAAACAAATTCAACATTACCATTTACCATCAAGTATAAACAAATCCAACAGTACCATTTACCATCAACTATAAGCAAATTTCGACAAACAGAACAGAAGTCATTGCCAGAACCTATTTGCCAATCGGAAGACAGGGTGGCCACCTTGGATTAAGGGATTGGTTTAGTTTTATTTTGTTAAACGTCCTATTAATACCTTAGGCAATTTAAGAAAGTGCCTCCATGTTTGATGTGTAAGTGTGCATGTGTGTATGTGTACTGGAGGCAGGGTATGTTGGTAGCATTGCCTCCTTGTGATAGCACAGATCTGATGCCGACTTTATAGTGCTATCTCACTGAAATACCATGCCAAAGGCACCCAGCACAGCATTCCACCCGGTCATCATTATTTAACACACTGACTATCAAGTTAGTACCAATCACTACAAAGGAAGATATTAGTCATCATATCAACAGGGTACTGAAAACAGCTTTTAAATTAATCTTGGAAGCAGATGTTGTTATTACTTTTATTAATTCAAAAGCAAAGGAGAAAGGACATCTATAAAGCCATAACAAACTGAGATTTTTTGTATAAAATCATCAGGAGGCAAGATATACATCACAGGCATGGCTTACTTCAATCCTTCTATCTGATCACCTGTAATATGTTTTTAATGAAAACAACATAATACTGTTATAATAAACATCTAATCACTCACTGCCCGTGTGAAGATCACCGGACTAAATAGNGGGGGGGGGGGGGGGGGGGGGGGGGGGGGGGGGGGGAATGCAGTAACTGTGAACATTGATCAAGGTCATCAACATTCTCTATAGCAAAGGGAAAACAAATTTATTCCACAAAGAGTAGGGCCTGACCATGATTGATAATAAATGCCAGGCAAGAACCTTGAAGGGAAAATCTTCAAAAGTACATTTCTTGTATAATCGTGTTGTCTTTCTCACCAAACAAATTTTGTACGAATAATAGATAAGATAGAGGTTTACAAAACTCATCATCTCATGTGGTGGGAGTACAGGGGAGTTATAGAACCTATAAATCCCTGTTTCTGATGTGTAGCTTGGTGTAGAACAGTAGATTTAGCACTACATGCCCAGTCAGTCTAAAGGAAGCACACTTTACCTTTGCTTCTTCAAAGTGTGCTGTGGGAGTTTTAGACAACAGATGAAACACTGGGTACCTACATGAAGATACAAGTATGTTGGCAGGAACATACTGAAATCGCTCCAGAGAATGTTATGCCTACATCTTAAATGGTTTTAATCTTTTACCTCAAAAGTGTAGTCTTTTGGTAGCAGGAATTTATAATAGAATTGACGATGAAATTATTCTTTTTATTAAGCATTATATATACAAAACTAGATGTTTTCACAGCTCACTTAATGTTATGGCTCTAGTAAATTTGATTAAAGAATATATATATATAACAATGTTCAGAAATATATCGCTTATGGTAAAGGGGAAAAATATCTCAAAAAGTTTACTAATGAATGGCGAAAACGGATAAAAGTAGTTGAATTTGCCTAAACATTTTATTTTTATTTTTTTTACTTAAATACTAAATACAGTCCTTAAATTGTTAATTGCCTTTTCATCAACCACTTGCATTTTGCTATGAGTGATCTTTATATTATCATAGGTATAGCATATATCAATCTGACCTTTACTCGGAAAGTCTGACATCTCTATCTTTCTGTCTGTATGTCTGTGTGTCTGTCTCTCTATCTCTCTGCCTGTCTATGTCTGTGTATATTTTGTGTATGTCAGTATCTGTTGTTTTCTTTAATAGCAATACAGGAATGTAAAAAATTGATGATGATGATGATGATGATGATGATGATGGAGTAGAAGAAAACGATGTATTTTTTGTTTGTTTTGAATGTGTTTGAATATGTCATATTTATGTAAAATCTTTGAAAAATAAACAATTATTATGTATAAAAAGAGTGTTGTCTTTTTACACAAATGTCTTAAAACACTACAACATCCCAAACTTCTCTTCATACAATGGTCTAGCTGGATTGCTTTAATAGCATAGGAGCTAAACATATTGGGGATCTTAACTGGGGGTCTCATTACACATGTACATAATTCATATAAACCAAGCTTCAGCAAATTTCATTGATTAGTAAAATGGAAAGGGAACACATTTTCATATTTTTTTTTGTAACTAACCAAGGCAAGGCAAAATTAATACATTTTGTGACATTATTATAACAGAGATTGGTTTGTTTGGTTTGGTTGCTTTTAGAGTATGCCAACAAAAACCACCGACTGAAGCTGAAATTGTCACTAGTATAGTAGTCATATCAAACCCCATTTTAAAAGCAGTACATTAAACAGTCATTGACATGATAGTTTACAATTGGTGAAATAACCCATCAAAATCACAAGACTAGGTACAACTTGATCTAAACGCTAATAACCTGTTCAACAAGACTGTTGAGAAATTATGAATGATACATTTAGTGTTAGCTCTTATTTCAACTGAATAAAATGCCAGTGGTGCATTTTAATGTCCCCAATAAGGGGCATGGTAAGCAGAAAATTGTTTCTCAAAAGTTTGGTCTAATTCCACCGGTACCTTTCAGAGGAGATGTCTTCTGAAGATTTTGCATTAAGGATCATTTTATGGATGTTGGTCAAATCTATCACAAAGATTCAGAGATGTTATTTGAAGGTTTTGCATTCTGTGATACATTATGCCCCCCACCCCTCAGTCCCCTTGAGGGTTTGCCATTTCTTCATTCAGAATCTTAGGATTGTTTAATATCTTTTGGTCTAAATCCACCAGTAGCTTTTAGGGTCAGTCTCTTCTTAAGCATAGATTCTGATCTCCACAACTGGCTGATGATTACCGCCAAATTCATCAATGGATGGTTTTCGAGGAGAAGTTTTTATAAATAATATGACTGTTCATGGACAACAGATGAAAATGCAAACGCAACATGTCACCTGTGTGATACAGGTGTCATAAAAATACAGGTGAACTGATTGGAAAACACTGATTAGTAAGCAGCTATAAATTGTAAAATTATTGGGAGACTGCAATAATGTTCCAAAAACGTACAATGTACACAGTGCCCTTTGATGACTAACGTAAATATAATACACACAACTCCCAAATACTGCTTAAAATATTAGCTAACACCATTGATTCAGTACAGTGTAGTTTTCATCACATTCTTACATATTAGTTTAGGCTAAAAAAAGATGACAATTAATTAGAGTTTGTTAAAAAGCGAGAATGCCTCTGCCTAGCTGTCTCCTAGCCTTACTCTGTGTTAAGTGTGTTAGTTCTGACTGCAACCCACCAGCCTGTTAACACAACCACTGAACCTACATCACACACAGTGGGCCGATTCTAAATTACACAGCACCTACAGGTGTCAATAAAGTAACAGGTCTGTAATTCACATCACATGGAGGCGGTGGTGGCATCTCCCTCCAACACCTTCTGCACATTCTTCACCACATGAAAGAATGCTATAAAAATCCTTACAAATGAGTAAATATTACATAAATTCACGAAATTGGCAGCATTTCTTACATTTTGCTTCTGATGAAAATGATTAGGAAAGTCAAAGATATTCAATTTTCATCCTTGCAAGTTCTCAAAAAATTTAAGGCTAAGTTATTTGTTTCTGCTCATCTAAAAGGTATTCACATTCCTCAAGTATGGAAATGTTTAGCAGTAATTTTCTTCATAACCACATGGATAGGAATGCTTTGTCCTTGGCAAGTTCACATCAAAAAATTAGTGATCTTGTTGGAGATTTTTGTTTTTTCTCTCTCAAAAAATTACATTTTCATGAAATAAGATTTTATAAAATATACATGTAAAGCAAACATTATCATAACGTGTTTTACCAGTACCTAATTGAGACCTTTTTATTACTTAGTTATAAACATCACATTCTATTCAAAGACTTTACCATAAATCCATTTCATGCTATATGTGCTAAAAGTATGCCAAATCCAACATCTTCAATCAAAAAATTTGTATGTGTTTGATAGAGATGACTTTTTCCCGTAATGGTGCCAAGATGTTTATTATTATACCAATAGTCACCATACCTAAACCAGGAGTTGTATCGGTTAAAAAATTAATTGAAAAGACCAGTGAACCCAAACAAGGTTAAAAATAACATGCAGAACAATATGAAAGCAATTCATGGTAAAAACATGCAGCAAAAAAGAAAGAAGATAATGTGCAGGTATACAAACAAAGCAACCTACAAAGCTGTACACAGACTATAGCAACAACACTAGCAATACTGGCTGGAACAATGTCAAATCATAGCATTACTCAAGGCAGGTTAACAACAGGATATTGTTATACAGAACACTTACCGGAGTTCACACTTGATCTGAACCCAACCTGGACTCCTCATAAATGACCAGGGGTGATACCATTTACCGATAACCTCCACACATGAACACAGTGTCTCCAGCCAGAGGTGTAATACTTGTTCACTGAAACAGCAATAAACATACTGTTCTCAACTATCACTTTACTAATACTTCACTGAAAATATACAGAATACACAAAACTAGCATCAAGCAAATTATACATAAAGAAGTGAAGATCACTAAAATTATCACATCAATGACTTTACCGGTATATAGAACATTGAAAATGTTCAAAGTATAGATTAATAATGGGTCTTTTTGGTATCATTTTCAAACTACAAAATAAGCTAGACAATGCTGCATTCTAACATCTCAAGAATCCCCTGATCAGCAGCCATCTATAGGTACAGTACTGTAGCTTTGCCATAAAAAGAATACACCAAAAGTTCACTCACTTAAGCCCACAGCAGATCATTGATCTAAACTTGACATCCATTTGTGCATGACATGTATCATGGGATATGTTGACAGCCTGGACCGCCTGTGGAATGTACACAAAACTTAACGTAAAACCAGTAAAATCTTAACGAGTTCAGCTGGAACAATATGTTCACACATTAGCATTATCAGTAAAAGTCATTATCAGAACATTAACAGAGAAAATACTGAAAGTTATATCATAAGCAATTAGATTGGTATCTGATCCAGAGCTATTCACTATTGAGATATAACGGGATAACCCGACCATGGACATCTCATAAAGTGGTCTAACATTATATCGCTTGACCAACTAATATTCATTATCTTATTTTAAGTAAAATGTACAAAAAACATACCCGATATAAGATCTCTTCAGGTGTCAACACTTTGCCATCCTGATCTAATCTGTGAACAGGAAGAGCAACAGAATAAAATAACACACAAATCACAAAATTTGAAAAGTTTTGCCATTCCATCTTGTTTCTCTGATCAGTCTCAAAATGGAATATCGTCAACTTCGGACTATGACAAACCTACATAGGAAATTTGAGATGGATCTGTTGGATACTTTTTGAGAAATAGTGATATCAAGAATTGTTTAAGATCTGGTCAGCCAATGGACAGACAGTGAAGAACAGACAAAAGGCCTTTGAACAAAATTAACAATATTTATTGTGTGCAAGGTTCTGGTCCTTCAGTAAGATGTGGTAATAGTTGATACCTGTAGGTCTTGCACAACACCAGCCTGGAGTAGACCGACTGGAAATCCTTCTCAACCTCTCGGGTCGCTGCCTGCAACAGCAAAAACATTCAACTGATAATCATCAATTCTCCAAGAACATCAAATTTTCTCTTTAATCTGACTTTTTGACTCCACACAGAAAAGATTGTTGGTCATGGTTTCTTAAATAAATGCTTCAATGCATGCAACTCCTTCTTTCAGATTTAATTTGGTCATCAACATGTGCAGTATGTACAGACAAGTTCAAGGTAATATGATGACACAATGGTACAGATGATTGATAATATGAAGGCCGCAGAACTTCAAGGATATCCCAATCCTCCATGGTTATAAATAAAACAATTGATTTGATTTTGATGGTTTTATATCCACTATTAGGGCCTTTCACATTAATGAAACAAGCAAAGTCGTGGAATTTATATCCTCCACTTACAGAACAAGTTCTATTTGCTGTTCACTACTGGGGTTTAGTACAGACATATTGTTCAAATTGGATGGAGATTCCTTAGTACCCCTGCTGAATACTATATCAAGTTTTCTACTGAAATTGGATTTGTATAGATATTATATATGTATCAATTGTGGAGGCAGATAATCTTGGCTATAGGCATATGCACATGGAATTTCACTGAAATCAAACCATTTTAGGGGAGTTATTTCAAAGATACCTGAATGAACGAACCAATCAGAAGTGTAAATCTCATGAAATATGAATGCACACATCAACATTTTTTTGTGATCCAACTATTCTTAAAAGAGTTATTTCAAGGTTTTTAACACATCTGACCCCTGTGACCTTGAAACCGTGTTAAGATAATTCACCTGAACAAACACTGATCATCATGATAGCACTTAATCCTACATCCTACAGGCCAAATAGCACAATCCTAGGTCCCTTGATTAAACACATTTGTTTCTCCAGTGACCTTGAAAAGGGGTCAAACAAGTTAATATGTTTTTCCAAACTTGATAGACCTGCATGAACCTAGACTTCTTTGTTATTCAAAAGAAGATGTTTAAACACATATGACCTCTTTAACGTTGAGTCAAAGTAATTCATTTGAACAAACTATAAAGCCTTCAATCATTCCAGCATGCTACTGGCCAAATATCATGATCCTAGACCTCCTTGTTATTCAGAAAAAAGCTGTTCAATGAAATAAGTTGATACTCAATGGACTGTTGATGGACATTGCATCCCTCATGTAAGCTCACAGGCTGGACATTGCATCCTTCATGTAAGCTCACAGGCTGGAAATTGCATCCCTCATGTAAGCTGGCAGGCTGGACATTGCATCCCTCGTGTAAGCTCACAGGCTGGACAATGCATCCCTCATGTAAGCTCAAAGGCTGGGCATTGCATCCCTCATGTAAGCTCATAGGCTTGACATTGCATGCCTCATGTAAGTTGACAAGCTGGACATTGCATCCTTCATGTAAGCTCACAGGCTGGCCATTGCATCCCTCATGTAAGCTCCCAGGCTGGACATTGCATCCCTCCTGTAAGCTCACAGGCTGGACATTACATCCCTCATGTAAGCTGACAAGCTGGACATAGCATCCCTCATGTAAGCTCACAGTCTGGACATTGCATCCCTCATGTTAGCTGACAGGCTGGACATTGCCTCCCTCATGTAAGCTCACAGGCTTGACATTGCATCCCTCCTGTAAGCTCACAAGCTGGACATTGCATCCCGCATGTAAGCTCACAGGCTGGAAATTGCATCCCTCATGTTAGCTGACAGGCTGGAAATTGCATCCCTCATGTAAGCTCAAAGGCTGGACAATGCATCCCTCATGTAAGCTCAAAGGCTGGACAATGCATCCCTCATGTAAGCTGAGAGGCTGGACATTGCATCCCTCGTGTAAGCTCACAGGCTGGACATTACATCCCTCATGTAAGCTGACAAGCTGGACATAGCATCCCTCATGTAAGCTCACAAGCTGGACATTGCATCCTTCATGTAAGCTCACAGGCTGGCCATTGCATCCCTCATGTAAGCTGGCAGGCTGGACATTGCATCCCTCAGGTAAGCTCACAGGCTGGACATTACATCCCTCATGTAAGCTGACACGCTGGACATTGCATCCCTCATATAAGCTGTCAGGCTGGACATTGCATCCCTGATGTAAGCTGACAGGCTGGACCTTGCATCCCTCATGTACGCTGACAGGCTGGACATTGCAACCCTCATGTAAGCTCACAGGCGGGACATTGCATCCCTCACGTAAGCTCACAGGCTGGACATTACATCCCTCATGTAAGCTGACACGCTGGACATTGCATCCCTCATGTTAGCTGACAGGCTGGACATTGCAACCCTCATGTAAGCTCACAGGCGGGACATTGCATCCCTCATGTAAGCTCACAGGCATATCACACCAGGTGACCTAAAAATGTGTCTAAATAGAGACGCACCATTTCATTTACCTGGCATTTTTATTTGGTAAATATTAATTGATATATAGTATATGCTTGATTATTGTTTTCTTTAAATTCTATTAACATTTAATCCATACATATTGCTGTTTCATCTTATTAAATTTGGAGCAGTAAACACTAAATTGTGCTCAGGTATCCACAGGTATGTTACAGGAGGCAGCCTGCCAGTGAACAGAAGTCAGCATGAGAGCCAGATGTAGCCACCAGGTATGTGATTAGGATGACCTTAACTTTGTTACACCAGGAATGTTGTGATGAAAGCAACATGGAACAGGAGGATGGGCATATCTCCCATAAATAACCCTGTTTAAACACACTATGATGTTAATACACAAACGGCATGCACCAGAAAGGTCAACTGACATGATACAAGAATCAAAACACTTTTATTACATCATAAAATGTATGGTCTTCTGGTGCTATAACAAGCTTGTACAACGACTAAATGTGAAAAAGATTAATCAACTTAATTCTGCTATAGGAATCCTTTATAACTGTAATTACTGCAATCCAAGCTGATTATAAATCATGGGAATAGGATTTTTTATCATTTATATATCAAAGCACCAAATCATTAAAGATAAGAAAATATTCAGTTATTCAAAAAACAAATAAAATGCCTCCAATACTTAGAAAGAGGACCGTTTGTTTTTGATATATCTTTGAGATTTTTAGAGTGTTATATATCAGTGACACTGTGCTTCACTGACTTTCATGGTAAACCTGGATGAAAAACACCACATTTCATTTCATATTGCGATAAAATCTACAAAATTTGATAAGTGTCTTTACATGCCAGCACTCAAGCTGCAGAGTTAAAAAGCTGCCAATCTCATCAGTATTATTCCATAACCTGACAAAAGATCCCATCCCAAGCTAATTGAAGTCCTGTTCTGACCTGGAATATTCTAGTGTGACATTTTACAGCAATCATTCAAACAGGAACACAGCCTTAGAAAGGTTACAAGTGGGAAACCAGAACACTGCTATCAAAAATAAAAGCTTATAGTGGGTGGTGAGGCTATTTTAGAAACAAAACAAATATTGTTTTACATGCCCTTTAACAGTAACAACATTTATAGGAGTGTTGGGAGTTATTTCAGAAAACAATAAAAAATAGTGTGCGACACGTCCTGGAACATGATAAGAGCTACTAAAAGGGTTACAACAGCTGATAAGGTAACAAGAGGCCCAGAGGACCTGTATCGCTCACCTGGAAATGTTAGCAAAATTAAGTTAAAAAAGCCAGATGTTGCTGGTACTGAGCTCGAGGGTATTACATGGTTAGTCAGGGGTTATATTTATATGCAATTGGACAATAACCTGCAGTCACTCCTACAGAAGAAGGATTTTGAAGAATTGGCTATGTTTCCCCTATTGGGCCCCACCCAAGGGGGTCAGACCCACCATTACATACATGTCAGATCAACTGTTTATGCAAAATGAAGTCCCCTTCACCAAAGGATGCTCCAAACCAAATATGGACAAATCCCCGTCATTCCTACAGAAGAAAAAGAATTTGCTGAATTACCCTTATAAGGCCCCACCACTCAGGCCCCGGGAAGTCAGACCAACAGTTGATTCAATTTGGTTCCACTTCACCCAAGGGTGTTTTATACCAAATTTGGATAAAATACTGGCATTCCTACAGAGGAAAGATTTTGAAGAATTTTTTATGTTTCCCATATTGGGCCCCATCCCTCTGCCCCTGGTGAGGGGTGGGGGCACACTCACTGTTCATACAAAGTCCCTTTTGCTGAAGGATACTCCAGACCAAATTGGGATGAAATCCCTTACTGGGTAATCCAAATGGTAGAAGTAGGATTTTAAAGGTATAACCTCTATATCCCCTATTGCGACCCGCTCCTCTGCCCCCAGGGGGGGCCACACCCACCGTTTATACAAAATTGAGTCCCCTTGGCCCAAGGATGCTACAGACTATATTAGGATAAAATCACATAATCCCTACAGCAGAAGAAAGATTTTAAAGGTTTTACCTCTATTTCTCCTATTAGGCCCTGCACCTATGACCCCAGGGGGGGCACACCAACCGTTTATACAAAATTAAGAACCCTTGGCCCAAGGATGCCCTAGACCAAATTAAGGTAAAATCCACAAGGCCATTCAGGACAAGTAGCGTTTTTAAGGAAAAGTTGACAGAGGGACGACGGATGCTGCGCCATGGCATAAGCTCACTTGCCGTTTGGGCAAATGATGTCAACACTGACACTGTAGTCTACCACGGACAGGTATAGCAGTACTGTCAACACTGACACTGTATAGTACCACAGACAGGTATAGCAGTACTGTCAACACTGACATTGTATAGTACCACAGATAGGTATAGCAGTACTGTCAACACTGACACCGTAGTGTACCACAGACAGGTATAGCAGTAATGTCAGCGCTGACACTGTAGAGTACCACAGACAGGTATAGCAGTAATGTCAGCACTGACATTGTAGAGTACCACAGACAGGTATAGCAGTACTGTCAACACTGACACTGTATAGTACCACAGGCAGGTACAGCAGTACTGTCAACACTGACACTGTATAGTACCACAGGCAGGTATAACAGTACGGTCAATACTGACACTGTATAGTA